ATAAAAGTTATTTTTATTAATAAAATAAAAAGTTTAATATATGACAACTATTTCCGTTTAATTATAATAATTCTTAAGTGGTTCTTCATTTATTGAGGAAGACTGTATATATATATATTTTAAGGTGTAAATGCAGATCTGCAGAGTTTTTTATTAATAAGTACCTTATACCAATTACATTTGTAACATTAGGACTCATACAAGTCAGTACATTATATATCTATATAAATTATCCCCTATATCTATGATTTCTAATAATATTATTTCAATACTACTTTGATACCAGTTTAATACTTAAATTTACTATAGATTAGTACTATTTTAATACTAGTTTGATACCAGTTCGATATTTTTTGGAACCCTATCCACATCCCATCTTATATTCAATACCCAGAAACCTATTACTTTAAATGATTTCTTATGTAACACTAGGCAAGAACCTATAGAGTATAGAAATTTTATCACTAATTTAAACTACCTAATCTATTGGTTCAGCTTTATTCAGAGGTGACTTGATTAAGAGAGTTAGTCCAAGTGCCTTATTACCTTATCATCAGACCTCAGATTATATTTCCACTTGGCTTATGGTATCTTCTGTAAAATTGTAATCCTTCTCATTACCTGTGACTGATTATTTTTTAAACCAATTAGGTTCTGTACTAGATTGAGATATTTTGACTAGGGTTCTAACTATATATGTGTTCATATTTAATTCAGACAAAACCATATTATGTTCATATTACTAATTAATAATTAGTAAGTAATTGGGAATTATATTTAATTTAGAATCATATTGTTGATTAAATTTTCTTTTATGGTAATAAGGAAACATATATAATTTTAATTACTATTGAAAGAAAAAAATTGGGGTTTGATTAGGATGGGATACAACCCAATCTGTATACCTAAATACAAGAGGGTCTTGATTAAGGAAGTTAAACATATGTTTTTTGACTTACCATATTATTCAACTACTATTGACATACTTTTGGCAATTATCGTAACACCATCCAGACAATCATTGTACCACGACACCTTTTCTGAAGATCACAATCTCAACACCTATTGGATTAGCATATGAAATGACTTCTTATAAGAAACAGCACATAACAGATTACGGTGTCAAATACTATTCAATTGCCTTTATCTGGGATTGAACTGGTATCTTGTGATCTGACCTATAAATCTACAAATCAATTTTATATTTTATATAAAACAAATAAGTTTTTATAATATAATATAAAAAAATATAAATTTTTTATGTTAAAAATATTTTTTATATTAAATTTTTATATTAAAAAAAATCAAAAATTTTATTAAAAAATTTTATAAAATAAACTTAAGCAAACTTGTTTTTTAAATTATAATCAAATAATTTATAAAATTTTGTATAAAGCAAATAATTTTTTATTGTATGATAAACTAAACCAGTTTTTTAAATACTATATTTTTTTATAAAGATTTGAAGAACTATATTATATTTTTATAACTCATATATAAAACTTTGATGGATTTTTTTTATCAATATTTGTTAACTTATATTAAACAAAAATTTTAAGTATAAAAATAATAAAAAATTTTTAAAATATTCTTAAATAACCTTGAACTATAGGCTTTCAAAAATATTATTATAAATTATTATAATATTTAAATAAAAATCAAGTTATAAAATTAATATACATATATAAAACTTTTAATTAATAATAACTAGTTATAAGTAAAAGTAATTTTATAATATCTATATATTTATAAATCATATATATTAAATACCACTGTATATATAACACAAGTTTAAATGCATAAAATTTTTTCTAACAGATAATATGCAATAAAGCAGTATTAACTGTATATAAACCAGAAATATATCCAAACTCCTAAAATTATTCGTGAAAATATCTATGTAGAATCGTGCGTCAATCATTTAAGATAATTGATAAACATTTACGGGGTCAAATTTCAGTTTTCGATTTTACTAAAGCTATAGATGATCCTCTAGCAGTTAGACTCGGTTGGATTATACCCCCAAAATTGGACAAATAAAGTTTGATTCTTTCTTTTTGTATGATTCATTTTATAAATACAGTATAAATGAAACCATGTACGTATTATATATAGTAAGGCAATTAAAAACGGATTGTGAGCAAACAACTTTATTAATATTGGAAAAAAAAAAAAGAAACAGCTGATATAGCATATAATTAGTTAACGAATATTACGTAAATATATGTTCTTTGACAAGTAATATCTTGTTTGATAATTATTTGAACTTCACAATTTTTTTGAATAATGGTGTTCCGAGTGTTGATCGACGCCATCCTTTAAAATTGTCATCACTTTCGAATTCTTCACTTTTATTCATAATCGAGAGAATATCTTTTATTGTTTTTTCATACGCTATCTAGAGGAACAGTTCTGAATTAGTCATTTATACAGAAATAAAAAGTAATATTAATATTCCTATGTTATACCTTAAATGCAAACAGCGTGTCCAGACCAGTCAGAAACGTATTGCATACTTCGAAAGATCTTGGAAGATCTACACTACCAGTATCAATCATAACGTAAATCCCTGGGCTAATTAATGTCATCATATAACCGGTCCACTTTGTCACTATTTGTTACATAAATAATCATTAATTAGGTAAGATAAGGTTAGTTAAAACAAGCGTTCCTGGAAAACCAGCTTACCAATGACTTGCCAACCGAAAATCCGATTGACACCGGTCTTACGCGAAATATTATCAAGGGAATCTTTCATAAATATCCCCAACCTAACCAGGTCGATTATATTCTTTTTTTCCGTGTTGTTTTTGCCTTCTCCCGTCACCTCACCAAACATCGTTTCATAAACATACTTTCCTGTATGTTAAAGAAATATATAAAACAGATTTATTTGTATTTTTAAGATTAGCTGTTTTTTCTATAACTACCATTATTGACAGTTTTCCCGATCATATCGGGTTGTTTAGCTCGGGAAGGATCACCGATGGCAAGTTTTCGGATCTTTGCGCTAGTGCTGGATGTGTTCGGCCATATCGTAGGATATATGTATGAGTCATGAAAAAAAATTCGTAAAATCGGACTTATTATATTCGCCAAAAGTGTCCCTTCGCTTATAATTTCTTTCAATGGATGTAATGGGATAGTATAAGACCTGCAAAGTAGCAAGAAAAAATCTTGCTAACAGTCATTTCAAATGTTGATTAACTAAGATATCGAAACTTACAGATGTTCAAAGAGAAACTTCATTCGTCGAAGAAATTCTTTCTCTGCTGTTGAATTAAATTCCTTCGAAAAAGATTCAGTGATGGTTTCGCGAAGTTCGTGTAAACCACCATCATTATCGTCAAGAGCGACCTAAGCAAGATAGTCAGTAAAGGGAACATTGCAAAAGAATAATGATAATAGAAAAATACGAACCTCAATGTATTCTTGTAGGATTGATTTTATGTCCCTTGTTACTTTTTCTTTTCCGATCAACTTTGATTTAATATCCTTTCTGAGATCTTCGAGCGTTTCCCTAGAGAACGTTTTTACTTGCGTTTCCGAATAATTATCCATTTGTAGTAAAAGAATATGGGATAAACTCCTGAATTTCAAAAAAAAATAATCAACCTCCATCAGTAAAGTTATCATTAAAAAGACATTCCATTTAAAAGTTCTACCTACAATATTTCGTGATAATTTTTTGTCATTATCAGACCAGAATTTTGCGCATGAGCTAACGCCTTGGATCGATATGACTTAAATAGTGATGATATGTTTTTTGTTTTGAAAATGAACTATAAAACGGTTATTGATTTAGCGAAATCATACTTGTAGTTTATTTTGATAACAAAATACTTACAGGTTTATTCCCTTGATCGATGTATTCTTCGAACCCAATTTCTTCCACGTCTAGCCTCAATTTGTCTTCCTCATCACTTTCTTCGGATTCTTCGGACTCTTCATCCACACTCTTGTATTTTGTAAAATTAATACCAATCAGCTAAGCCGAAAATGAAATGAAAAAAATACATAAACAGAATCATATCATTCATGTCACCGACCATATCATCACTAGTTCCGGAAGATGAAGTGCAAGACTTATCATCAGCCTTAGCCCGTCTCTTTGGTTTCGGTTCATCCTCCGGATTATTCACCATTGAACTGTTTGGACAAGGCGTAGTGTACCCATCTCGATCTTCTTTGTAATCAACATCTCGTCTTCTTTTAAGATAAGTAGCTGACTCGACCTACAAATAAACCATAAAGTTTGTTGAATTAGTAAATCGTTTTTAACAATGTTACATGTAAATTACCATACCAGCTCAGTATTGACATTTTTCATAATATTCCCAATGCCATCTTCAGTTCCCTTTGTCATAACACGAGCTATTTTCAACTGAGATTCAGAACAATCATTAGCCATATAATATTTAACAACATCAAAGTAAATATAAATTATTGACCTGGTCCAGCTGTAAATGTTTTTTTTCTTTGGCTTGCTCTATATCCAGAGATTCATCTTCAACTTCATTCCAGAATTTATCGATATCCACGTTCTTTTTTCGATGGTTCTACGTGATTTATAATACACAATTTATCACTATCTTATTCTCACTGGAAAGCAGACAACTCCTGGCAAAGCAGACCACAACGGGATCTAATGAACGCCGTAAGGTCGGGTGGTACGTAGGCACCCGCCATAGTTGTGTGAGTGTTACCCCTTCTCGGGACTGCTGGAGGCCCCCACCTCTACAAAACTTGTAGACCACAACGGGATCTAATGAACGCCATAAAGTGAGCGGAGCGTACGCGCTCACCGTAGTCGTGGAAGTATGTTCCCCTTCTCGGGACTTAACAGAGCCCTCCATACTGCTTGATAGTATTCAAAATGAAATGAAAAAAGATACTCGCCTCAAAAACATCAAGCAAACATTGAGCTTTTTGTTTCCTTAAACCCGAATCATTTTCAACCAGGTGTTCCAAGGCAACTTGAAGTCTTCTTGCTTCTTGGCGAAAATTACTTACGAAACCATCCAGGTTTTTACAATACTGGTAATAATCGAGAAATCGGTATTTTTCCGGTGGCGTTGTCTCAAAATATTCAAGAAATAACTCCATGGATCCAGAATTTACACGCTTTAAAGGGTTAATGCTACTATGTTTACTAAAAAGAAATTGTCACGAATAATGATATATTAACAATAAAGAAATTGATATAAACGGGAAAAAAAGTTGAGTCACGTGATTTTGTTTATGCTTAATTGATTATTTTTTAAATACAATCGGGTCACGGATATTTTTTCTTCGCCTTTTTATATAAAAAACTTACAGATCAAAATTTATTTATAGACTTGGATGGGAAAGGACCAGAAATTGCCAGAAACTTTTTATTGCAGGTAGTATTAGTAAGCAGAGTTTCTTTACTATTTTGGGGTGCAGAAAAATGCTCCCCGTGCGTCACTTGTGCAGAGTGAAATTTCCGAATTATGTATGATTCACGTGATCGACACGTAACGAATTTCGCGAATTTCGCGAATTCGCGCGAAATTTTTAAATAAATTTCGCGGAACCAACATTGCTCTAATATAATTTAAATTAATTTTTCGTATAATAAAAATATAGATTAACAATTAATTATTTTTA